AGCTGACAGTGGGACACCGGGCGCGACGAGACCGTCGAGGTGAATCAGCGCGCTCTCATCGACAAAGTCCTCGCGCGATACTCGGGCGAGTTCACCGGTGCGCACTAGAACCTATTCGAAAGTCTCGTTAATATATACTGATGTCCGCGTCTGCCTGGTGTTGTTGGCAGTCTTCCGCGAGCTTCTGCAGAACTCCGACGACGCGGGCTCGTCCGCCGTGGAGATCCACTTCGAGACGAGGGCGTACGCGGAGAAGACCAAGGCGGCCGCGTCCTCGTCGTCTTCCCCAGCGGACGCGGAGCCTTCGGAGGGCGACGAGTCTACTCGGACGGACAAAGCAAGGGAGGACCTGCCGGATTTGAAGACAGTCCAGGTATGTCCATGGAGTTTGGGGCAGAGGTGGTTGGTTGGCGGGGTCATGGGAAGCTGACGAGGGCGGTGTGGTAGGTCCACCAGTGGGTGTTCAAGAACAACGGGCAGGTGTTCAGGGAGGAAGACTGGAGTCGGCTGAAGAAGATAGGTGAGCAGTGCGCCACAGCCTTGTATTTTATGTCCGTCTGGACGTAGCATGCTGAATATGCGGTACATAGCGGAGGGAAACCCCGACGAGGAGAAGATCGGCGCATTCGGAGTCGGTAAGTGGCGTGACACCGTAGACCGCGGCCGAGCGTTGATTAGGTGAACCTTTGCAGGATTCTACAGCTTATTCTCGGTAACGGAGGACCCGTTCGTCACATCCGGAGGTATGTACGCCTTCATTTCTCATTACCCTACTCTACCCTAACACTATCCTCGCAGACCAATGGATGGGGTTCTACTGGAAAGGCGACCAGGTACCTCTCCCCTCCCCTCCCCGTTTCCACTCACTAACACTAACCCCCTTCTCAGCTCCTCGCCCGGCGCGGCATGCTCCCCGCCCCCTCCCCGCAAACATCCTTCCACATGTCCCTCCGCGACCCCGCGCCCCCGCCCCCGCTCTTCGACTTTGCCCGCTTCCTCGCGTCGTCGCTCACATTTATGGCGCGCCTGCAAGAGGTCGCCGTCTTCCTGGACGGGCGGCGGGTGGTGAGACTTTTTAAGGAGAGGGGGGCGCCGAGAGGCCTGGGGGTGCCGAGGGGGCTGAAGGTGAGGAGTCCGGCGGGGGGGATGGGCGTCCGGGTGGTGGAGGTGACGCGTGAGTGTATTGAGTTTTGTTTTGAGAGAGGTGGGGAAGAGCTGATGGTGTGTTGGGATAGCGCTGCACATCAAAGCAGATGTCCTCCGCTGGGTGTACGCCGCCGGCTCGGAGAAGCCCCCGCCCGTCGTGCCCGCTTCCAAACCGAAACCCGCCCCCGGTGCCGGCGGCTTCTTCTCCTCCCTCTTCTCCTCCTTCGCCTCCTCCACCCCCTCGCGTACCGCCTCCCCGTTACCGTCCGCCCCGCCTCCTAAACCGGTGGATTTATTGGAGGTGGTGCAGAGCAAGGTGACGCTGGCGGTGTACGCGGCGGACGTGGAGGTGAAGCTGGACAAGAAGTTGGAAAGGGAGCTGTACCGCAGCACGAAGAAGAACCCGCCTTCGCGGTTGCGGTATGAGTTGATTTATGTACGTCAGCATGGCGTGGTTTTTGTGATGACGGTGTGGGCGTGCGCTGATGAGACGGTGTGGGCAGACGGGGAAGGAGGAGTACGATGAGAGCCGCCGGGAGGACGAGCGCTATCCGTTTGCGACGGGGAGTGTTTTTCAGGGGTTGCGCGCAGATTTGGATGGGTGAGCGGGATAGTTGATAGAGTGATATCCTTGTTGCTGAAAATGAATTCGACAGGACAGGCTCGGCGAGGATATTCATCGTAGGTCGTTCTCCGAGTCTAACGTGTATGTGGATATCAAAAAAAGTGTTTTTAGGGACACGCTACGGGACAGACTACGGGGATCGGCGGACATATGGCCGCCCGGTTCATACCCACCGTCGAGCGGGAGTCGATTGACCTGGTGGACCGCAACGTCGCAGGTGGGTTTAAATCCTCCCCGCGGCGCAAGGCTGTCCTGACCCCTTCCAGTTTGGAACAAGGAGCTGCTGTACATCGGCGGGTTCCTCTGCCGCGCCGCGTACATGATCGAGCTCGCGAATATCCGTGAAGCATGGGACGCCCTGCCCCCGGAGGGCGACTCGGAAGAGCTCAAAGCGCACCTGCGTGCGCGCGCGCTGCACGTCCTCAAATTCTTCACCTTCCACTCTTCCACGCCCTCCTCCACCGTCTCTCAGCTCCTGCAGGACGCGTTCTTCGCCTCCGGGACCTCTGTGGGCTTCCCGCTCATGTCGACCGCGGGCGTGCGCGACGTCAAGGACGTGCGCGTACCCGACGACGCGTTCGCCGCGTTCCTGCGGCGCTTGCCGGTCGTCCCCGCCGAGACGCTCGCGGAGGCGCGTGCCATGGTGGATGCGCTGCAGGCGCGCCGGATGCTGCGCGACATCGCGTTCGATGACGTGCTCGGCGAGCTGCGGCAGCGCCCGCTCGGCGAGACGGAGGCGGCAGCGTGCCTAAGGTGGTGGGTGACTGTGCACCGCTCCGGCGCGGGCAACGAGCGCGTGCGGCGAGAGCTGCTGGACGCGGCGGTCGTGGCGGCGGAGGGCGACGGGGGGCGCGTCGTGCAGCTCGCGGCGGTGCAGACGTTCTTGAACCCAAGGGCGACGGGCGCGGTGATACCCGCCGACGGGCCGCTGCCGGCGCACCTCCT